TCCGCATGGTCAACTTCTCGCCAGAGTTCTGTCAGTGCACCTTTGATGCTTCGCGGATTTGCAAGGCCAGGGATCTTGGCTACGATGACGGACATTACCTCATCGCGAGAGTCCAAGTAATTTGCAAAACGGGCACTGGTGGTAATTGCCTCAGCTTCGAAGAAACGAATCACCTCAGCTGGCAAGCCCCGATCACGCAGCTCTTGCCGCCACGCGGGCTCCATGGCTGGCAGAAATAACCACACGAGAGCAATACTACTGCAAAGAGCAAGAAAAGAGCAATGACAGGCATGCCTCTAGTCACGTCGGCAAGGCGCATGCTGTGCACCCTGTGCAGAGTGAGCATGCTTGCAGACTGTGAAGGGAACAGCAATTGTTTGCGAATCCCTCGGCGGGCGAGCATGGATGAATCACTGAGTGCTTGTGACCCGTACGAAAATGTCGCCGGCGCATCGCTCACACCAGCGACGACGAGGAAACTCTGCCATGACCGAGAAAACCCCAGTGCCATGATGGGGCCTTCCAGAAATGGAGCAGCACAAAGGTCGAGGGTAGCCATCCTTGGTCACTTTGGATGGGTGGGCGCGATGAATTCTGCCTGAAGGGTGTTGGGGCACTACCCACTCAACAGTAGCAAGATCCGCATCATCGGAATCGGCATCCCCAGAGGCTGACGACTCGGTGCTTGAATCAGACGTTGAAGAGACGTCTGATCCGGGCGAACTGCTATCAGAGTCAGCTGCAGCAGGAACTGGGACCTCATCTGAGGCAGGCGCATCAACGCCTGTGTATTCCTGCGTGGTCGATGGCTCCAAGAGCTGGGGCCAAGACTCTGAAAAGTAGGTCTCAGCATGCCCGGCAACAGCAGCGCGAATAGCGAGGATGACGCTGCTCTTGACACGTTGCTGTGAAACGAATTTGACGGACTCATCTGCATAACGGACAGGCATGCTGGAGGGCACACGGCTGTTGTCCGAATCGATGGTATCAACCCAGCATCCAAGCGCCAACGGTCCAGGACTGGCATTTTCATGCATTCGGCGATGCTCGCCAACATGCGACGTCCACTGTATGTGGTCGGAAGCTGTTCAGTCCGGGGCCCCCAGGCTGCCGGAGAAAGTGTGACCAACTGTTGCAGAATACGTTGCCAAGCCGAAGTGCCCATGGGAACAGGAGCAAACCCCGTAGCGTCAGCTAGCGACGTCCGGTAAGGCCGCAAAGCTGGCACCAGAAAAGTCCATTGTCGAGAACATAAGCGGTCCCAGTGTTGGAAGAAAAGGTCACCAAGCGTTTCTTGCCAAACGCCAGCTATCGGCATGGCCCAGTCGAACGGCGGTGGACAACGTCGAGCTCGCCTGGATTTTCCCTTGGAGCAGGTCAGCTTCCATGCGAGGTTCATCTTGGACACAAACTTACTTCGTTGAGCATGTTTAAAACGGATCCCGGAGTAAGTCAGCACCGCTGCGGCCATCCCCAAGTATCGCAGAACATGGTTCGAGGAGTGTACAAGTGTCTCAAACACCCAGAGGTCCCTTGCAGTGAAAGGAAAGGCTTGCTTCAGAGGGGCTGCTGGCACTACGTCGGCTGGGGCAGAGACCAGCTCATCATCCAGGCACATGTCAAAGCCCAAGTGGTCACGCAAGAACTTGAGCCCACTGAGCACACTGAGCACAGCACCAGCTCCTCCAGCATTTTTGCGGGAGACGCCATGCCCACGTTGTACTGCATGTAGGAAAGCTGCCGCAGGCACTGAGCGTATTGGAAGAACTGCTTGTCGGGGCTGCCTCGCAACGCACCATGACGTCCACCGTCGCCAGGATGAAAGAGCATTGCGCAGCGTGTCCGGCGAGTAAGTTGCATATTTGGCAAGCAGCAAACCTTTCGCCTGCTCTGCCAGTTCCGGAGAACATGCTTGAAGCTGGTCACCTTTGGAACTGAAATGCAAGTTATCAAATAGCAGGCCGACCATGTTTGCAGCCAAACACTGTGCGCGGGAAGATTCCGAGGGAACCGACCGCTCTGCTGGGCGACAGTTTGCCGCCACTGGTACATCCACAGCTTCACGCAGTCTTCCTTCGACCCGTACATGGGCAACTGAATGCGGGCACACATGTGCAGCAGCAGCTGGCAGAGACGCCTGCTGTGCGAATCGTAACCGACCTTTGGCTACTGCTGCCGCATCCAGAATACGGTTTGCCTTTGCATGCATCTGAAGCCACACGTCACTGTTAGGCCACGTGTAGAAATCATCAACATCCATGCCATACGCAAAGTCAGGTAAGGAGACAATGCTCTCATGAAGCAAGCGCTCTAGTGGCGCACGCGTGTCGCCGAACTCCGTCCAGAAACCAAGTAAGCATGGCAGGGCCGAAGGCACTTCGGGAGCAGCACTCGGACTGACGGCCTCTTCAGTTACGCTGCGAGTGCGTGAGCGTTGTCTCGGCGAGGAAGCAGAGGAGCTGCGGGCACTTGAAAGCCCTTGATGACGCCGATGGGAAGGATGCTGTGCGCTGCAGCTCGAACTGTTTCGATCCCCATGGCTCCGAGAGGGCATTCAGCCGATGAGCTCAGGGGCTTTTGGGCCCGTGCTCGGAATTTAAGCCAAGCATGATAATGCACATCAATCCTCACCTACCCTGCCAACCAAAAGGATTCTGATAGATTTGTTCAAGGAATCAGCTTGAACCTGAAATTTCCACGCCGCCATAGGCCCACGATAAGAAAGCACGTCTCAAAAAATGTAGCTCACCTGGGAATGCACAAAGCGTGCAACCATCTTGAAATGCTGAAAACGTTTGCTGTCGCCGGGCGATTGAAAACGATGTTAGCTGCTGCTGCTCACTTCAACTTCTACCTCGATCTCTATGGCCTTACTGCTACTTCTATTTCTACTGCTGCTTCTTCTACTACTACTACTACTACTGCTGCTGCTACTACTACTACTACTACTACTACTAGGCGCCCCCCCTTCCTACCAACTATGTTTCCCGGATTGCGCATGTTGAAACCAGGCAAAAGCAGAGAAAATTTTGGCTATGTGACATGCCAAAAGGCTTTGTACTTTCGTAAAGCGTGGGGATGCCAGGAGGGGGGGGGCGTAGGTGGGGGCATAGTGACGTCAATCTGAAGATCGCACATGCAAGAACTATTGGCATGCACAGCATGTTTTATGTTTTTGCGTGGGTGGGGCGCGTTCCGCCACTAGCCACTTCCTCTTAAGCTCTTGACAGCCCACCCCTATCAATTAAGGGAACATAGTTGGCAGGGGAAGGCGCTACTACTACCACTCCTTCCGCTCCTGCTGCTGCAGCTGCTGCTGCTTCTGTTGCTACTGCTACTCCTGCTGCTACTACTACTACTACCACTACTACTACTACTACTTCTACTACTTCTACTACTTCTACTACTACTACTACTACTACTACGACTACTACTACTACTACTACTACAACTACAACACTACTACGACGACGACGACGACGACTACTACTACGACTACTACTACGACTACTACATCTACTACTAATAATAATGATAATAATGAGACTACTCCTTCGGCTACTGCTACTACTACTGCTGTTCCATTCCATTCCATGACAACCGGTCGGTCAGCTTGCCTGCAGCTTGGTGGCCGGGCACACATTGCACTGGCGCTGCCAGAGCGCATGATCCACTTAAGATCAATAGACCCTTTCGGAAGCAGCTCCAGTCAACACCCATGGACAGTACAAAGAACGAACTCATTCTCATTCTTGATACTGTACAGCAGGTTTTCTACACATGGTCAGTTCAATGGAGAAAAGCATTCTGAGCGTTTCCATCTATGGATCTCCACAATGCAGTGGCGCTACTGGGACGCGTCGCATCGTGCAAGTTGCCTCCCTAACCTGGCGCACTGCAGGCCTGCATTCCCAGTGACAAGGGTTCAGATCCCATTCGCGGTCCCAATGGCGCGTCGCCGCTGGATTTAGCAGTGGAAATGTGGGAGCGAAAAATCTGCAGCAAATGTCGCCCTTCCAACTCTTACAAAGGCGTGTGGCCGGAAAATGGCACACATAGAAGCTGGGACCATGGACCCGTGAAGCTGCACTTGCCAATAACTCAATAACTTCAGCCAGTTGGGTTTGCAGCGTCCCCTGGTCGATTCGAATTGGACAGAAACCCTCGCACAACGAGGAGCAGGTGTTCGTCTTGTTTAGGTGTTTGGAGCTTGTTCTCCTCCTCGCACCGGACTTGGGACCGGATCGGCTGTAGTGACTGTCGATTGCACAATGTTGTACACACGATGCTTCGCAGTCGGCACATCTCACATAATTAGCCATCTCCGTTGGCACGACCCCCGTTACAGGAACAGCACAGGCCCCTACAGCCCATCACTTGAAAGGCTCTTTGAGCTTGCTGCAGGGCGCCAGGAGCCACTGCAACACCGTAAAACCGGGCACGTCAAGGAAAAGCTGATTTGCGTTTTACACGTTTGCGCCTGCGCTTATTCGCAGGAACCAAGAACGTGAGCGACCGGTCAGATGCTCGAGAGCAAGGCAGGCCAGGCGGTGCATCTCCCACTAAAGCCCAAACAAATTTGTTCCTATGCTCCTGCACATTGACCCGGGAAGCAAGGACCATGCAGGCGAGTATGTAGCGTGCGCACATGCCCACAAGCCAAGGTAGGACAGCAGATCAGAAGAACAAGAGACAACCCACCGGCGCTTTTACGTGAGAATGACGGGGCGTCTGTTCACATATCCAAATTCCAGCGTCCTGTTTGTTGACAACACGCGGAGGTCCTTTCAGGGCCTAAGCAAGTACTTCTGTATCTTTTCGGCCCCCCACCCAACACCCCTTTGGCAGAGCTTTTGAGAGCAAACAGCCCACACTTCAGGATGCGAAAAATGAGGAGCATAACAAGATTGCAGGAGATGCAGCACTGGAACGACAAAGCCTGTACACATAAAACCTTATCCGCAAATGGTTTCCCTCCGCAAATATAGCGTCCGCTTTGCCTCGTTTGGCCTTGCGGCTCGAATCTCTGATTCCGGGATACCCAGTCGCAAAAGAGCCTGGAGCTTGGAGCTGAGTGCAGACAGGCACTTTGTGGCAAGCACACAGTTCAGCAAAAGGTATGGTCCGAACTGAACGATAGGAAGCAGCGTGCATTCCCTGGTGCAAAGAGTACCTCGTACAGCAATAGGTCAAGGTAACCACCTGTGGCTCCAGCTGGTCCAGGCAGAGCTTAGCCTTCCACCATAATGGCTTTGTGCCAAAGACGTCCGTGCTCAGCACTGCCACCTGCAGACTTGCTCTATAAACTTTGGCAAGGGCGAGGCAGCAAGACAAAAAAAAACTCTTTCTGTACAGCGAGTTGAGAACTGCATGGGTCTTGTATGCGTGCGTTCTTTGGACTGAGCATAGGGATGTGTGAAAGAGCTGGTTCTGAGGTTTGGGGCCATTCTGCATGGGAAAGCTTCGCCAGGCACGCATGCACATGAAATTCCTGCTGGGGCCTTACAAACGACTACAGCACTTGCATGGTGCCACCGGAGAGTCGCCACTGCATTTTCACACACACACACACACGCGCGCGCGCGCACACACACCCCCGCGCGCGCGCGCACAAATCTTGCCAGGGATTGTCTGATGTCGACTCATGTTCAACAATTGGGAAGACGAACTCACAGCAGCCCCAAAACCAAAACCAACACGGAAACCCGCAAGCCACACAACAAATCAAAATGCAGAAACTAGGCATAGTAACCTACTGCCCTCGGTCCCCTCAAGTCCCGTAAAAACTAATTTGCCTAACCTAGAAGAGAATACAAGAAGCAGAAAAACAGAATGCGTGGTTGGCCAAGCTATAACTTTGGGAATACGAGATTTACCGGCTCCCGGTGCGCTGCGGGCAGTTGCACATATGAACATGCACGCATGGGTTCCGTGCAGGTACTATTCCAAAAAATCCAAGACAAAACATGATTGACCCGTCACATGCGCATGTCTGAGAAGCCGTGATACTTTGGCTGGCTTGGCTGGATAGGCTGAACATGCTTGCACTTGTTCTTCGCATCGAGAATCCACCGGAATGAGCACTCAACTGCAAGTTTGCGCACTTCACTTAGCCCGTCACTTGCAGCTCAAAATCTACCAGCACGAGGGCAAACTCCTTGAGAATGGCAGCTTGTAAAGGAAAACGTCTCCTACTCGCAAGCTGCCATGGACTACATGACTGCCTCTCCTGAGGGTCGCACACCATCCAATGCTTGAGGGAAGTGAGGTCCCAAGTGTTGATAGGCCGGCAGCAGACACCTGTGAAACGACTAAAGTCCAGACAATGTGCAAACGACTGAAAAGCAGTCTGGTGCGGACTCCCCATCAGATCGATACAGGTGTCGCCCCTCAAACCCCGGAGGAACCTCGCAAGGAACCATGCCTCTCCATTCAGTCTAAGATGTCAAACACGGCCTGGCGTGCGTTGTAGATCTCCCCATTGTACACGGCAACCACCTCTAGCATCTGCATCATTCAGCGCAGAGACATCAGAGAATATCATAGAGGCCATGTGGAGAGAAAGAGAGGGAGGACTGCTGAATACCAGTAGATCTAGTAGTAAGATGTAGTAAGAGAACTCTGTCCGCCTTGTCCTCGACAAATGGCTGCCACACTCGTTCACCTGTCCTTGGCGAACTATCGCAGCGCACGGGTGTCATCGCACACACCAGAAATTTGAAAAATCTGAGAAGTGGGCATATGCAAGAGATTGTGTACGAACGTGAAAGGACCCTTCTGGAGAGACCTGGTGCCTCAACAGCTGCGTTCGCCGGAAGCCTGACATGGTTCATGCTTGTCTCTGAGGACCCGACCATCTGGCCCTCGTGGCAGCAAGAAAAAATTCACGGCCTGGCGGCAGCAAGATCGGCCGCTCGAACCAGGCAAGCCACTCAAGTTGGCAACAGCTGAGCTTGAGTCTGTTAGATTCGATATAAGCCATGATGTCACCAAAAAACTGCACATCTTGCTCAACCTGAGCAAAGTCTGAGTACAGCGAGCCAGAACTTTATGCTGCAGGTAACTGCCAGATCGTAAACCACAAAATGTAAAGCTGGCATCCGGACTTGTGTGCATTTGCCCAGCCACTCACATCGTGCGTAGACGCATTTCCATGAGGGAGGAAGCTGCGCCGAAGCTGAATACTTACAGCACCGCTGAGAGCCAGTGTCCCTACACTCAAGCTCGTGAGAGTGCACTCAAAAAGTCCGGCATATCTTAATCTTGGTTTGACTTCTGAATCCCTTACATTTGTCTCCTGCAACTCTGGCAGATTTTGTGGCAACAGTGTAGCATGCCTTTCTTGCGCTTTGTGCACACCGCGGCCAATCACAGCGAGGTCGCAGCCACAGGTCAGAGGGAGCTACGTTGAGGATCTGGGGTGCTCATGGTCATGAGCGCGTAGTCGCTTGTCAGCTGCCTCAGAGTTGCTGGCGTCATGCCCGTGTGAGGTCTGTGAGGTTACCTTGCTTCTGACAATGCAATCTGCCGGCAAAAGCATTTTCGTACGCACGCATCTGCAGGTCACGACAGCTGCAGCCCTCTTGAGGCTAGAAACGACTTGACAGCAGGATAGTTCTGCAGCTCAGTGACAAACATAGTTTTCACACGAGGGTCAGCCAAACACCTCTTCGGGTTCTGCAAAACCCGCATAAACTCGGGATGATCCTTCAGGAAGGATTGTAAAGCTTCGGCAGGGTTCACAGCTTCATCGTCTTGTGGTTCTTTTTTGGGCGGAGGCTCTGTAGAACGATGCTCCTCTTTCACATCACTGGCTGTGTGGTCACCAGGGTCGCCTGTTGTGCGGCTCGCTGCAGCATTGGCACCCGGAGCTGCGCTGCGGTCTTCCGCGCGTTCAACCCACTGCTTCTCCTGTAGCTGCTTCTCCTGTTGCTGTTTCAGACGCTTCGCTTTCCTGTCAGACTCAAACTTCTCCAAGAAGTCTTGCCGCTTCCTTCTGAGGGTTACGGCATCAAACTCCCAGTCCATTTTGGCATCTTCTGCGGGTGGTTCCGCAGGGTCAAGCTCCACAACAAGAGCCCATTCTGCACTAGCTTCAAGATCAGCCGCTGCATCCAGGAGGCTGACTACTTCTTCAAGAGCACGAGCACTGTTGTCCGAAAGTTCCTTTGCTGTATCCGCACTGCCATTCAGGCCAGTGTCGCCTGCACTTTCCGCTGCTGACTTTGCACTCCGTCCTGGCCGCACGGGCTGTTGAAACAGGCTTGCAGGAAGCACTGTCGGAAGCGGATCCGGAGGCTTTGCAGCCAGCTCTTCCCGCAAGCCTTTGACAGCTTTGATGACACTGCTGACCTGATCAGGGATGTAATTCCCGTTGAGGTGCGGCTGGTTGTTCGGAGCCTGTTGCAAGGCAAGCAGGAACTCTTCCAACAGGTTCTGTGGAGTGCTCCCACCTTTCACAACCTGAAGGAAGACCGCTGCTGAAGGGCTGTGACCCACAACCCTCCGGCAAAGGGAGATGAGGGAGTCCGCTGCTCGAAGCCAACTGGTGAGTTCCTCAAAGGCTGCGCCCTCCTCCTCGGATCCTCTCTCTGCCCCATGGCACTGCTGGCAGCATGACTGAAGCTCTGTTGCAATGCGGTGCGCGCAGTGTCCAAGTTTGAAGGCGCTACTCACAGTTACTGGCAGAGTGTCTGCATCACTGGCATCTCCAACACTGAAGATCAGGCTGAGGCAAAGCCATTGTGGAGCACACAGACCCAACAAGAGCTCCAATGCAGCACATACAGTCGAAACGCTTGCGGGGTGCATCTCGTCCGGACTCTTATTGATCAGCAGGTTTACGGCTTTGGCAACCATTCTACACTTTGGCACTGAATGAGAGGCTGGTGATGCAAACATCAAACCCAATAGCCTAATGGACTGAGCAAATGCCATGGGAGGCAGAGAAGCGGCAGGCGAATGAGCGAGAACTGACTGGCAAAGAGTCTCTACTTGATGCTCCGAAAGAGCCAGTCTCGCAGCCATGCCAAGAGATCCGAAATGAGCCAGAAGCAGCAGCAAGCGAGAAACTGCACGAGCATCGCGAGGATCGCGAGCAGCACCACCACTGATGTCATCGCCGCCCTCCGTCTCCAGCACAACACCATTTAGAGCAGCCTCTGCCAGCCTTCGAATCAGCATAAGGACAGGCAAGCCAGCAAGTGTAAGCTTCTCCAATACTTTGGCAGTGCAAAGGTGAAGAAAAGCGTCTGAGGTGAGAGAACACTCAGCCACCATGGCCAGCAACTCCGCAACATCGTCCAGGGAAAGCCGCTCCCTGCGCTGGTTCACCGTCTCTACCAAGCCCAAGGCCCGAGCGGCAGCAGCTGCAGCAGTCTCTCGCTCTGCTGCAAGCGCTCTCACCAGGGGATCCTTGCAGCTTGCGTCCTCCAAGTCCACCTCGGAGGTTTTGCTCCAGAACTGGCCAAAAGCATCACGACCAGCCATTTGGCTGGGCGAGACAGGCCGCAAAGTCACCATGCCAGCGTTGCCAGTGCGGGTTCCCGTGGGCAAGAGCACCGACTGGGACTGCAAACTGTCTGTAGGGTGTGGAGATGAGAACACAAGGCCAAATTGATGCGAAGTCGGAGGAAGAACAGGCTTGAGGCTCCCACACGTGGCGAGAAGCAATATTCCTCCTGTAAAGTTGGTCGGCAGAACGCGAGCATGCCGGAGCAAAGGGAGCAGGAGCTGCCCTCCAGCTGACTCAGGAAAGCTCTGAAACCAAAGCCGGAACAGGCGACAGACCCATGCGATGCAGTGTCGCCAAAGGAGCCGGAACTCCGGATCACTATTGAAAGAGCCACGTGGCGCGAGACCAAACAGACCTGATGTTAGCCGCTGCGCCAATAGAAAAAGCGCCTGGCACAGCTCTGTGTGTCGGTAATGAGACACCCCAGCATCTCTCAGTCCACACAAAAGGTGCGCACATGTCTGCAACGCTGCTTCCAGGAGTTGAGCATGGGCACGGCGCGTTGCATAAATCGCAGCTATTGGCTTCTTCTCTTCACAAAGAATACTGGCTTCTAGATTTAGGCTAAGGGCTCCTGAGCACCGAATGAGCCAAGGCACCAAATAAGAAATCCCATCTCTTCCTTTGACATCAGCAACTTGATCGACAGCGATTGCAAGAGCCTCCTTGGGACTCGAAGCAGCTCTACGGCAGATAACGCGCATTGCAAGGAGCGGTAACTCGGTGAGGTCCTCACTGGGATAGCGCTCGTTGAGGTCGTCAGCCAGGTCAGCGTGCTCTGCAGACTCTCCAGCCTTGAAGTCAACCTCTGGCACGTCGACCCCGCTTGCGGCTGAATGGCCGCCAAGGACCAATGCAAGACGCCTACTTCCACGCTCCTCGTTTGTTGAGCGCTTCAGTGATCTGGGGCCTCGAGTGAGGACCAGGCTTGCCATCAGCTTGCTGCTGGTCACAGGAGCTTGTGCTACAGCACCATTTGTTGTGTCAGATTCCTCCGGGCGCCAGGGCTTCAGCTGAGCGGCTAGGTCCCTTAAATTCTTCAGAAACTCCAAGTCAGCACTGCGTCTCCCAAAACGTACCGCCTTGCCGAGCCCGCCCTCTGCACCTTCACTGTCCAAAGCGAACTCCAACAGAGCACCCGGGTCTGCAGACTCATCTGCCTCAGGCTCCAAGACACGGATAGCCTGCAAAACCAAAGTCAACACTCTGGCCCCAAAGCGTTCTGCAGCGGCACCCGAGGGGTCGGATAATACCAGGGCATGAAGAATCGCAACCAAATGACGAAGCGAGGGTTGAACCTGGGATGGCCTGCTTCCACTGGGAGTTGCTTCATCCAAACGCCCTTCGATTTGTCGCATCAGCCACTCTGAGAAGAACACGCTTCGAAAGGCATAAACAACTGCACACCGACCTGCTGATCCTCTGACACAGAGTCGGTGCAAAGCAGCCAGAGCCACACAGGCATGCTCTTCAGGTAAGAGTCCACCTCGACCTTTGGACCTGACGCATCCCCAAACAGAAAACAGATCTGATGCATGGTCGCCCCCTCCAATGCCTTTACTACCACATCATGCAAAGCTCGTGCATTTTGAACATGTTGCCCGCCTTGTGGCAGCCACCAGACGCAGTGCCAGACGCAAAGCCCGGACATGGGTGGCGGCCAAAGCCCCCAAGTGCGGCGCAGACAAATCTCTTACCAAAGCCGAGGGAAAGCGGGGCACAGCTGGCAATTTCTTGTGTCCAACCCCACAGTCGAGAACGTTAAGCCTTGCGTGGCGGGGAAACATGGTACAGGTGCGAGCAGGTCAAGGAAGCATTTAAAAAGGATACTGGCTTGCAGCTGCAACACAGTGCGGTGAAGGTGGCATTATCGGCAGCTAGAAACTGCGGCCCACCCGAACAGGACAGCAGTGTACATATCATGCGTTGGATAGGTCGAAATAATTGAAGGCGATCCTGTGGATGAGTACGAGATAACCGTCGCAGCAACACAGAAAGTCCAGGCAACAAACGGCGTCCAGTCATAAATGACTCCAGAAAGCCGTACAAGTGACTTTGGCCTTGAGCAAAGGGATCGTTGGCCACAGAGCCAGTCCCGCTGCCCCCAAAAATCACACCTGGAAGCTTTGAATCATCCAAGCTGTGGTTATTGAGAATATCGTCGCAAGGGGACTCATCTCGAGCAGGCGAAAGGCTCAAGTCCTCGAGATGCACACTGACATCCTGCAGCGCGGTGGCGGCTTCCTTATGCAGCCTGTCCTGAGGAGCCTCTCCGGCTTCCCCGGCCTCCTCTAGTTTTGAGCAACATTCATCCAGCCGTGCGAGCGCTTCATAGAAGGCGGCCCTCCTTAGCAAGCTAATAGCAACATGCTGGATCCGCGGCTGTCCGGGTGTGCCGGTGAGAATCAGCGACAGCACCACCTCATATGCCGTGGTCTGGCCAGTTGGGCTGGTAAGCACGTCCGACCATCCCAGAAATGCCTCCATCCCTGCAGCATGTGAACATAGCTGCAAAAGCGTTTGGAGGGCGGCTAACCTAAGACTCTGCTGGTTCCAATCTTCCTCCTTCAGGATTTGCACAACGATGTCCAGGTCACCCTTCCTGCTCAATATCTCTGCAGCGGCAGTTGCTGACAACAGAGAGGTTGCCAGAGCTTGCAGGGTAGCTCGCAAAGGTCTGAGCTCCAGTCGCTCCATGCATCGAGCCACTAGCGAAAGCAAAGAACGGCATAGCTCGGGACCGTGGTGGATATGTGCTGCATTTTCTGGTGCCCTCTGCGCCAACAGAACTATGTCATTTGACAAAGTTTCCAAGCGAGACACAACTTGCTCACTCTCTGTGGCATCACCTTCTTGGATGACTGTTGGTAGCCAGGCGACATGATCGGTCAGTCGAGCGTTCGCCTCTTGCACAGCACCAAGCCCCAATGCGCGCACAAACGTCGGCGGTGCTGTGGCATCTGACACTTTGAAAGAGTTATCGCCCTCTGCGTCCGCAAGTTCTGCCTCAATATTTTTGAGAACACTGCTCCGCAAATCTTCTAGGTCTGCCATGTCCAGCTTGTCTGCTTCAAAGCTCGTATCTGGGCGGAGATGCTGAGCTATGCTGGGCATCGCTGGCAAGGATTGGACTTCGGCACTGGGCAGAATCTGGCCAGTTATGACGACTGAGAGCTTGATAAACTTTCCCCGGATCACAATGCTGTTTGTAATGAGTTGGCCCCCTGGCATGGTGAATGTTCCAGGTGAGCTTGCCTTCAACGGGGACATTGTAGAATTGGCGGCCAGAAGATCAGAGGCATACACGGCCAAACCAATCATGCGAATGTCTGGGTATGTTCGGCCTTCAAAACTTCCTAATCCTGATGGACCCTGCAGCTGTACCTTTTCATTTCGGCCGATGACCTTGACACTCTGCACTGAAAGGGTCTCTGGAAAGCGCAGCTCTCTAGTGTGCTCACCCATCTGCCGCGCTTCCACATGGTCTGCAAAAACCACCGCGTGGCCTTGAGACATTGCATCAGGAATCGGAGCTACTTTAACTTGGCTCTTGCTGTTCCAGCCCCTGAGCCAGCAATAGACGCTGCCAAAGGCAACGAAGCAAGTGTCATCTTCCCTCAAGTCACGTCGCAGTAGCCGGCTTAAGACATGACATCCTGACACATCAGCCGTGCGCCATCTGCCCCCGGCCACTCGTAGATGCAAAATGTCATGCAAAGATATGCATAGAGTCATAGGACACGAAAACTCTTCGGCATGGCTGAGCTTGGCACCCAAGGCTTGCGTTGCCAAATGCTGGATGTTCTCCTTCCATGCTAGTGACGATCCTCAGTGGGTCTTGCAGATTTTCGTTCTGTGCAGATTATCTGGAAGACCCCTGTCACTCAGGACCACACGGTCAGGATGCTTCCGTTGCATCTAGCAGCTTGTTTCTGAGGGCTGTCGAGGAAATGTCATTACCTGGACAGGCTATGACAGGCTTACCTCTGCAGCTGAGACTTCAAGCCTTGCAGCCTGATCCTGAGGTCTCTTCGAAAATCTGGCAAGGCCAAGAACAAGTCGGCAAAATCCTGGCGGGAGGGGCTAGCTTGAAACTTGATGCACCAAGGGTTCCACGCGCAAGGCAAGAGCAAGAAAGCAGCAGGGACAAGACCAAGACCAGGGCATGAGGAATGTTGCGTATGCATGACCAGCAGACAAGTTATGAGGATGGCGACCCCCACCCTACTTCCTGCATGGACCAAGTGACATGGGTTCCTTATTAGGGACATATTAGGGACTAAACTACAAGAGGACCCTTATGTCCATTGTTAAGGGTCCCTGAAGAAGCCTAATATTGATAGTAGCGCACATGACGAAGATAGAAGGGTCCAAGGATGACGACCATTGCAAGGATACTCTCAAAAGATTTGTTGACGCTTCGCGCACAGATTTCAGCCATCTCTACCTGCTTGAGCCGCCAAACCCCTATTTTAAATTTGATGAAACAAAAGTTCTGAGCATAATTATGTTTTATTAGAATGACGGACTTGCTGAAGTTGAAGAACTTCAGCGGCGTCAGCGAGGAGGACAAGGCATTGGGATCATCCTGGAGCGCTCACTCTACACAAAGCCAACGAATTGTCCACCACACCATCAAGCCCTGGAACAAGTGGCAAACGTGAGGGTCAGAGCCACTTTCTTGCTTTGCTTTATGTTGATGGTGCTCTCTTTCATGTTCGTGGTGAGCCCTCGATCCCTGAAAACGTCCTGCCACGGGAGCAATTAACAAATACCTGCAGCATTCTTGAACCACCACAGGCTCGATCCAAGCTGATTGAGAGAGCCTCCAGCCATGGGCATACGTGTGCATCTGCAAGAGCATGCAACTCACGGTGTTTTGCTGGCAGGGATCTGATTCTAAGCACACGTCCGCTTCTTGACGACGACAATTGCATATCATTTTGGAAAAGCCAATCGCGTGGCAACTTTCAACCACTTCTGGCTTGCAGGGATTCTTCGCACATGCGTCTTGCGAGCCTGCAAAACATCTCCATCAGCGGTACACGCATTCCAATTCACCAGCTTCGGTTCAATTTGAATGGCAAATCCTCCAACCCGCTCAGGGCGCCTGGCGCCCGGTGATGGTACCCTTCCTTGGCCCCCAGCCTGCCTGGCTCCCCATCTCCTTGTCATCTGGCTCAACTGGCTGCCAAGTCCCCCGATTCCCCCACCTCTGCCTCCCACGCCCAGGATCCCCAAAAAAGCGTCATGAGCATGGATGCTTTCCAAAACCAACCCCAAGGCTCGTCTTGGGCCAGGGATGAGAAAAATTTGGACAACGAGAAAAATGTGGACTCACTGAGAAGCCATTGGTAAGGGAAGATCAAAATTGGAGAATCGGACCCCCAATAATGCTGACAATGCCGGCCAGGGGGGCCAGCGTCATCAACATCCTTGAGGGTCCTTTTCTCCTTCTTCAGGCTTCTAGGCTGCCCATGCCTGTCTGGCCAGGCATTGTGGAGTTGATGTGGGTTGGACGCTGGCCTCACTAAAGCAGCAGCTGGCTTTTTCCTAGGGTCATAGATCTGGTGAGCCACCTCGCACTGGTTACCCCGGTGCCGGGTCGCTACCCCGGTGCTGGGCGGCTGCCTGTAATTCTATTAAAAGCCTTTCATCAGAAGATTTAAAGGTATCGAAAGTCTATTTCTTGAAAAGAGATCTATAATCAGATTTATATATTGGAAGAATAAATCTCGCATAGATTCGCAAAGAATATAGGAGATTAAAAAAAATGCTTCTTGCTAAAAAAATGCTTGTTCAGTGCTGTGTGCTCTGGCTGCTTCTTAAGCGCCACCTGCCATGTTTTTTTGTTTTTCCGCTGCTTATGCGCCACCCGTCTATCCCCTTTACCCGGGCTGGAGGTGTAAGGTTTGGGGCTCAGGGTTCAGAAATGGGATGTCAAGCTTCAAGCTTCGTATTTGGGGCATGGTTAGGGCTGAGGATGTAAAGTTTGATGCTTAGGATGCTTAGTTTTTAGGGTTTGGGCTTCAGGCTTGGCGTTTAGGGGGCCGTTTGTTCATCTTCAATATTTCTTACACACACTGAACATCAACAGTAAGCCCGCAACCCTCACGCGGCTCCTCCGAAGCCATCCTGCTCCCTTTCGCGCTGTTGAGACAAAACAACAAACATCCCATTGCTATTTGATCTATTTCTCTTGTTTATGTCTGATATCTTTTGTTCTGCCAGCATCATTCAGCATCGCCGCCCCGCCCCCCCTCCCTCCGTGGTGACGTTTCAAGGGGAGGCTACAACCCGCAATGGCCCGGCACCGGGGTAACATTCAGGACTGTGACCCTCGCTTTTTTCCTACGCCCATACCCTAACAACATGATTTCCATGAAAATGTAGCCTGGTTTTTGTTCCTTACCACTGGCTGAATTTTTGACCTACTAGGTGAGGGAAAAAGCCAGGACCATGGAAGGGTGATCTTTATAGTATAGTAATAGATAGTAATAGCAAACAAGAGTAGTAATACAGCCATGGTCAGCAGTAAGTACTAGCAGCAATAAATACTCACGATTTCCTAGTAAAGAGTGATAGCAAACAGTTAAGTAAATTCGAAGAGCAGTAGTAAATAACAAGGAAAGCTGTAGCAATAATGGTGAGTAATTCATCTGAATAGCAACAATAACGAAGTGTAGGAAATTGTACTAGTGCACGCTGATAGCGCATAGCAATAATAATGGTGAAGTGTAATAGCAATGGTAGAGAATAATATTAAATGGAGATGGCAGTTTTTCATAGTAGGTATTAATAGTAGATAGTACTCATAAATGATGAGTAAACAGTCATAATAGATTTCAATGATAAATAGCAAGAGCGACTGGTAAATGGTAGAAAGTAATAAAAAATGGTGATAGTAACTGCTCGTAAACAACAATAGTAGTAGTAATAGCAATCGTAATAGTAAATAAGTGGATTTTAAAAAATCTGAGGGAAATGTACCCGCCATCCCCTCCGTCCAAGCTCATCTCCATCACATCACAATCGGCACGGTGGTGCCGCCACGCAGGCTAGATGCCACTGAGATGACAAGGAAGTTGGATGCGATTATGGAAGCTTTCCGGCCGTGGCTTCACCAGATTGAGCTCACACCAATGGATCGATCTCTCCACTTCGGGGTTCCCCCATCCTCACCCCTCTGCCTCCTGGTCAATGCCCTCCGGGCCGACCTGGACGCACAGTGGGTGAGGTGGGAGTACGCACCTGATGCCACATCAGTCCAGGCTCACTGGCGTCTCACCAAACAGGGTGGCTACCCTTAGGTGCAGGTACTGGTCCCTGCCCAGCAGGGTAGGGTCAGGGGCATAGCACCGAGGGTGAGGCCGATACTGGATCCCCTAGGGTAGATCCACCGGACCTCTCGACCAAAGTGCCTTCTGACTGAACTCGCCTAAGGGCGGCGACTCGCAATCCCTGGAATAGTAAATAATAATAGCAATGAATTACTCACAGCACCAGGAAAAGTACATCATGATAGTACACAGCAATAGTAAATAGTAATAGTTTAGAAGAATTTATGGTGTATTTATCTGTTGGGTCAAAAATGTCTTAGGAACTATTATGGAAATCTCAGAACCTATTATGGAGATCTTAGAAACTATTTCAATAACTTGGGGGTCAGGGCCAGCATGCCTTTCCCAATAGCTTGTATCCCTGTCACGGCACTCTCCAGCCCAACTCGCAGCTCTGACACTTTTTCAGGGCAACTCCGTGCGCTCTGCTCAAAACCAGAATGGCTTCAGCCACTTCAGCCCAAAATGGCCACCGCTGCTCCATCTCGGTCAAGGGCCCATAATGGGTTGCTTAAGCTAAGATAAGATCGTGAGCCAGCAATAGCCACATGGGACTTCGGAAGAAAACAATGCCTTAGGCATCTTTGACCTTGCGGGCCCTCTTGGCATTGGAGGCACTGGCAGCATTGCTAGCGCCACTCTCCCGGCGGCCCTCGTTCTTGGACTTCTCTTTCTTGGATTTCTTGGATTTCTTCTTGGAAGCTCCATCATCCCCAAGAGTCTGAGCTTCTGAAGTCTCACTGCCCATGACAGACCTAAGATAGCAGAACACAGAAATATTATGGGAGTTATAGGGCAATTAATCTGAGACCCCGTGCTCTTGCCTATTGCCCAAATCCAAAGCTGCGCTGATAATGGCAATTATCAATCACCATTGAATTGTGCCATGATGCTGCCACTTCAAGCCCCAATAAGTAGGCAGTAGGGACAGTAGGCCGCAGTAGGCCAGAAGCACACGGTGCAATACGCAACATACAGCAGAGAAGTACTTTACAGTGGACAGTACACAACATCGGTAACATCAGGCCCAACACAAAAAGCTTCGTGGGGACTAGGGAAACAAACAATAACAAAGCCCAAGGAACCCTGACACAGCAGAAGGAGCAGCACGCTTCTTGGGAACCGCAGGGACCTCCAACTCCATCAATTGCTTGGCCAGGCTGGGCGCAACCTTGCCAATGTCCTGCCACAGCTCAATTCGCATGGGAAGCGCAGGGACATACTGAGGGAAGCACCCAGTTGGGCAATAGAATAGAAGGCAATAAGTAAGCCTTGCAGCCTAGGCATGCCGGCATGCCATACGCAATTCCGCAATTGCATTAACCTGAGCATGCATTCAAATGCGCTCCTTCAGAGTCACGCCCACAGTTGAGCCCAAGTACTTGTACACTTTCTCGAGCACAGCCTTGACCTTTCCCGCATGCTTTGGATTCAACAGCACATCCGCAGCCATTAACGTAGCAATCGTCATCGCAACTGGCTCCCGAAGGTCCTTCACACACGTACACACACTCACACTTACTGACATACACGCACACTGCAGACCTAACATAGCAAATGTCACAGCACACAATAAAGGTTGCATCAAAGTGTGTCGCAGCCCAGAAGGCCTTCACAAACCGTTTGAGGCCACGACCACACAGGCCACACCCATGGAGCAAAGAATGAAGAGTCAGCATGACTGGCAGATTGGCATGAACTATTCATCGTCAATCATGAATCATCAATGA